CTGAAAACGGGCGCAAAAGCACGAAGTCGTTTTGCCACAATGAACGTACCGATAAGGGAAGAGATACCACTAATGGGCCAGCCACTGATTATCTCACATTGAACTTATTTATCACTAAGGCGTCCTTCATTATTTCGACAGCCATATATAAATTTTGGGCATGCGCTGCTATCGCGATTTGTGCTACACGTGGCAACGGGCGCCGCCATCTTATCCGCTGCCGCGTACGAGCCACGCTCACTCGCTTTCGCTACAATCATTGTACACGCGCGATCGTCTTTTGTCGTTTTCGAAATCACGTCAGATCGCCGGCTAGTTCATCTTAAACGCGCGAAACTATTAACGCGAAGCTGGCTAGCTTACCTCGTGAGACCAGCTCTTAACCGAGTCGTTGCTCAGATTAACCTTGATTAGTCTCTTGATCTCGCTGGAGAAGTTGCTTGTATGGAGTTGGGCGTCCGTCGAATTGCTTGCGTACGATTTATCAGGATGCCCTCTCCTCTCAGCTAATGTCCTTTCACATACCTCGCGGCACTCTCCTTTTTAAACGCCAGGAATAACCGCGCTCTATAAGGGCTACATCCGTACTCCGCGAGCAGCTATCGTAGACTCTTTTATTTTCGGGATCTATCTCTCTCTTCCTGCGCAGTGCACGCCTTCAACTCATGTTCGACAGGTGCTGCCCCTCGCGGGCAGTCTCCAGACGAGGTGAGAGCGCGCATGTAACGTTCTTCGTTACAGTACGTATCAATGACCACGAAAATAAACCAAAATAAAATTACGATCGATATCTAACGCTTCCACGAATTTATTAATAACTGTTTGCGACTTTACTCGATATTATTTGTCATTTATTAGTTATCAAATCAAATATCGTTTTTTAATCTTCATTTAGATTTTTATGCATATTTTCAAATAGATTTTTACAGTTCAATACCAAATGCTCATAAATTACATTATTATCATATGCAGTTTCAAATAATTAAGAAAATCTAAAAATTTGGCATGATATTCCTTCTTTTAATAGAAACGTACATATGCGTTTAATGGTATTAATTGTTTTGTTCACCTTAAAATCTCCACTAAAATATTTCTTATATTTGTTCAAAATAAATTTGAATATTGTCATTTATTAAAATATTTGCAATATAATCAGAGTATTAAAAAGGCATTATAATTGTACAAGCTTAGTCAAATGTATTGTATATAAATATAAAATTATTGACTATATCCTACATAAGGCCTCAACGATAAAAAAAATCAACATGTTACGTTCTGTTTTTTTCGGATGTCGGGAGACTCCTCCAACTGCTTCTTAGTTTTATTAAGCGAGTGTAAAGTGTGTTTGAAGCACCATTCGCAGCCACGCACACCACACAAGTCGAGAGGGATTGGCGGAGAATTTAGGTTTTTCAAATAATTTCTTTAAAACTATTTCAGAGAAACTTTATTCACTACTTCTTTGTTATAATGCAAAACTGTTTGTTCGTAACTTAGGACAATGCGTCCACTCTCTCTGTTGTTTCTTTTCTATTTGCCTTTTTTTGCTCGTCGTTTCGAAAAAGCGAAAGCTTCCTCGCAGTTCAGTAATAATGAAAGAAAAGGTCAGTCGCTTATTGACGTGACAACAAATATTACCGGCCAACCAGCTAATCACTCCGCTCTTCTCGTTATCAAATCAACCACGAAAACAACCATTTACTTTTTGATATGACGGCTCTCGCGAAGGCAATAAAGAGAGAGCAAGTTCAAAAGTTAAAGAGAGTGATCAGGTGGGATCCGAGAGACGGAGAGGAACAATAGACCGAGAGACATGAGAGTCCGAGAGAGAGGGAAGAACTTCTCTCTCGGCCTCATGGTGCTCTACTTATGAAGTGCACATCGAGCACTATTATGCAGGATTGTTAATTCTGCAAGACAGCCTTGATTCGCAGACATACGTGTGCCTTTTCGCGATCGCGGAAAACAAAAAGTCTGTTATTAGGCGTTCTTGCGTGAGAAACTTTTAAATGAGTTTTCTCACACAAGCGGTCGCTTAGTGACACTTTAGCGTCTAGAAATTGCTCTAGGTTGGGACCTAACACATTAAAAATGACAACAAAAAGTGGGAAGGAGGTTTCATTTATTTTTACAAAAGGTACTATAAAAACTTTACTCTAATAAAAATCACCGGAGCAAGAATACTTGTTTTAACCAAGTTTTCATTTTTTACAGTTTCACATTAATAAATTAATAACATAATTATGGAGAGTACACCGCGTCAGTTTATATACATTTACTTTAGCATATTTTCACGACAAAATATGAAAACCATGTTAAATTTACAGAGTAAAGACAACATAGAAAAGAATATCAACAATAAAATAAGAAATAAAATTACAGTTATGAATTCTCAAGCCAGTGAGTTTAATAATAGTGGAAAACGTCCTTCAGACGTAAACAAACTACCTACTGATATTACATTCAACTATCTAGATATGCTATATCGCGTTTATTTTTCTGCGTACAAGATTTTATGTTACATATGTCACAAGGAAGGCCACATAGGTAAACACTGCTTCATTGCAAAAAGAACGGAAAATACACAAGCCAGTATATAAGAGACGAACAATGAAGTACCTAGCAGTGAAGTATTGGAAAATAATCTCAACAATGACAACTAAAATGATGAAATAAAAAATACCAATGATACTGAAGATTTGAGGGCGAACAACGTGGATGGCTCTGGAAGCGAAAATAAATGCGGTTCCGAGCAACCATTAACTTTCAACGACTCACTTCCTTTTAGAAAATCTAGTAGTTTAGTTAACAAGAAATATTACAAACGATTTGCTTCTATCAGTTTCACAAGTACTATAGCCATAAATACCAATACTCAAAATTCTCCAACTCAAAAAACGAAGATTCACACTGCCAAAAAATCCAAGCTCGATACGCCTAAAGAACCATCTGTTGATTCAGACGAACGATTATAATCCTTGAAATCTGCAATTTCTGATCCTATGATCGCTACCTTTCCTATTACAATTTGTGAATTACGAGATTTTATTGTAGAATCTTATCAATGTAAGTACACTGATATTGCAGTAGTAGCTGAGAAGTACTTTTAACACATAACTGCAATAGCTATGACGTTAAAGGATATAAAAGAGCACGTCAAACGAAAGTCACTCAAGTAAAGATTTACATGGATTTCAAACATCTTGTGTCTTCTACGACTAGATTCAGCGAATGAAGACATGGACTTATTAAAATCACAATGTATTGATGTATAACAATATTTCAATTGAAGTACAAAGTCGTCTCTTCTATTCAATTTGAACCAAACAGTTAGAGTTGTTTCGTATTTATTCAAAGCAAACATTTCGTCATATTCTTTGAAAGTAATTTTTTGTTGATTTTCAATATGTTTAGCTGAATATTTATCAGTATGATTACTACTATATATTAGGAAACCATATAAATACAAAGATGCTTCCATTGAACTCAAAATTCGTCTGTCGATGAATGTATCTATTACGTTATAGATAATTTCATCATTATATTATTTAATTTTTCTTTCCTTTTTTGTATTATTTTTTAAATTTATCTTTGTTTACTTTATATTGAGCCATATTTCAACCTTTATGTGTATAGTCAAACATATACGTATTTGATGCTTTCAATATTTATACTATTCAACATTAATCTAACATTTATATTTCTTTAAACAGAAACTATTATAAGGAACTATAATTGAATTGTCAACATCGACATTTTTCTTAGAATGTTAAAGTTGATAAACATGATTATTAGAAATATTATACGATAATTTAGATAGTCTATGATAATTTAGATATCCAGTTTTTCGCATTGTTGTCATTTATTGAAATTCCTTGGAAAAATTCTGTTAATATTTAGTTTCTCTTATTTATATTCACGGAGAATTGTCAGTACATGGACGATGTAATATATGACTCATGACTAATTTTTTAAATTTTTTATTTTCAGATATTTAAGCATAAATTATCCATATTTCCTGGAGTTTTATTTTATTTTGAGGATGTAAAGTTATCAAAAGATGAATATGTGGCAATCCTCTCTTAAAATTTAGTTGTATAAAACATACTTAAACCCTTCCAGATAAATTTTTGTTAATAATATCGTTTAATAATTGACTGAAATTTTATTTAAAACAATCGAACTGTTATATGTAAAATATCATTTGGAGTAGTTTCTTCTGGAAAATTATTCAAAACCACTTCTAGGTTACATTTAGGATTATACAGTATAGTTATAAATAAATCAAGATTACCAATTGCCCTTACAATTAACATTGCATCTTGTTAACGTTGTTGTGTGTGTGTGTGTGTGTGTGTGTGTGTGTGTGTGTGTGTGTGTGTGTGTGTGTGTGTGTGTGTGTGTGTGTGTGTGTGTGTGTGTGTGTGTGTGTGTGTGTGTGTGTAAAACTATATATATATAAGACTACCAATATAAGTAGCCGACAAAATAAATTTATTAGCTAATTTTTATTGCTGTATTACTATGGCAACTTACATTTTTAAGAAACAAAATATGTATCGCTATTTTATGTCAAAATTAAAAGACAATTACAAAATTTATTTTGTATTTCGCACACTTCATTTAATAATTATTATTTTCACCAATTTATAGAGAAAATTAGTGTACGTGTGCGCGCGCGCATGTATGCATGCGTGTGTAAATTAAAAAATATATTGTATATTTTTCAATATTGTTTTCAAAACAATGGGAATGAATAATTTAATAAAATAATTAAATTTAGAAATTATTGTTTAAAAAATAGTAATGATACTTTCGTTATCTTACTTATTCATGTGATATGTATAAAAATATATAAAAATAATAAACCTAAGTTTTTATTTCTTTCCAAAGTGTTGTTAGGAAGCAAGTTTTTTCGAATAGTGTTATGTTATTTTTTATTGTCTTCTATCAACTCAAAATTTTTATTATGAATAATTTCTATTTTTATCCATTTTCAGATTCACTGTGTCTCCAGAAAATATAAGACAGTATCAAAATTGTATTAAATATAACTTGAGCGAGAAAAAAGTATTTGGATATACAAGATGTGTTAAAACAGAAACAATGATTGATGACTTGAAAGAATATTTGAATTTAGATGCTAAAGTCGATTTTTTATGCAAGACTTACCACACAGTTTTTACGTCGAAGAAAAAAATCTCTGCTGCAGACAATTTAGACAATAATTGCAAATATAATTATCGCAATGCCATCGTTATCTCTTAGTCAACTATCTAATTTTCCTCTACAAGTTCCTCTTAAAATACTGACTTGATAGACCCTTCTGTATCATTTATTGAAAAAAAAGATAGAAGAGAAAGATACAGCGAATTTACTTATAGATATGTGTGTTGCCACATATAAATATTATTTTATACAGAAAACGTTAAAAAATTGGCACAGTATCATTTGAAGCCCGGTTGTAAATTCATACAATGAAAAACATTTTAGTTCTCACTACTAATGAATGTTGCAAAAATTATTTTAGTAAAAACCGTTTCTATGAAGAAAATATACATTGTATTACAGTAATATCTAATTTCAGCAGCAAAAATTTCAGAAATATTCACACTTTTATAGAAACTCAGAATTGATGTTGACAAGGAGCTGACAGATAAAATTGGAGATTTTCGTTACCTAAAAGTTATCTTATGTTATTGACGGGTTTGAAATGGAAAAATATTTTCATACTACGCGAAATAATGACATCGTTTCGGAATTCAAATTCTCGAAATATTACTAATCAAGATTATTTAATTAAAAATCACATAGTCCTAGTAGCAAATAAATAAACAGTATTATTGCATGATATAAGTGATAAATAATTATCTTTAGTATACAATAGTGTATTTTATGTATAAAAAAATACAAATAATGAATACCAGCGGAAGTCTTACTCAGGACAAAAAGACACCGCTATGCAAATCATTTATAATTTGTACAACCAATGAGTACGTGTTGGGAGCCTACTATGTAAATGATAATGATACTCAAATTTGCACAGAAATTTTTGATGATTCTGAAGGTTTAGTTAAACTTTTGAGACCACGTAATAAGTTTTTTATGGATAGAGGTTTCGGAGATGTTATTGATAAGTTAATTAAATTTGAATAGAAGACGCTCATATCTACGTTAAAAAGTCAGCAAAAGCAACTGCCTACCGCGGAAGCGAATAAAGCAAATAAGTCATGCATGGCAACAATGATATGTTGAATCGTTAAAACAGTGTATAGCATAATTTGTCAAAAATTCAACCATCTATACAATCAATCAAATAACAAAATAATTCCAAATATAAGAAGCTACTGCCGAATTGCTTGTTTTTTTATTAGCATTTTTTGAAAAAGATTCGTCTTTAATATTTCCAGTAATGAAAAAGTAATTGCTTCCATAAAAATCGTAAAGAATTAGCAACCGTTTGGCAGAAGAAGCAAAGTCTGTAAGACAGAGTAGATAGAGAACTAAATTCGAATAGCTTACTTGAGAAGAACTTTTAGATTTTTCAAAATAATGGAATAGGACTAGAAGAGTTTTTTTGGCTGTGATACATCAGTTTGGATAAACAATTGGTTATCTAGCTGAACTGATGGATAAGGAATACAAAGTCCAAATTACTTATTGTGGAGGATGATTTTGGAGAATTTAGGTCGTGCACGTAAAATCTTTCTACCACAGGGCTTAGGGTGACTCATTTCCCCGACTAGATTTTCAGAATCGCTAGATCATTGTTTCGGGGTACAACGGTCGTTAGGAATTTTTGCCACCACGTAATTTTCGCGATGGCGAGCAGCACTTTGCTTACTTTATTTGCTGCGACTTCGTCCTAGTAAATACGTTTCTTTCGCCTGGTCCTCTTCACAACTGTGTGATTCGATGTTTGATAGAAAAATTGACAAGCGGCGTTATTCCACAAAAGAAGATCATCATCCTCTCCTTCTTCCGAAAAGAAGTCGGTTTATTGGTTCATATGCAAATTCGGAAATTAGCAACGCTCACTCATTATCTGCTACCACATCGCTATGTACCCTCTCTCACTCCGTACTAAGTCGACCAGCATTGATTAATGTATAAGATCTACTTCTACTCTTGTCGAATTTTCGATACGGATGGAAATAAAAGTTCATTTTAATTTGTCTCCTAGTCTATTACATTCATGATGTCACTAGCGCATTTTGTCAGAAATTAAAATTTCGTCAGCTAACTATGTCGATATTAATGATTTTGATAATTATCACTTTCAAGTACATATACAGCATTTTGTTTTAAAGGTTGCATATGTGTTTTCATATTTTCTTTTCGCGGTTATGTATAATAATTCACATAATTATTTTAGCTAGGTGTTTTTCATTATTATTATTGGCAACTTTTCTATTCGAAGCGTCCTCACAATCGAATTTGTGTTTACATTATTATTCCTATTTAATTTCTAGTTCGCTCGTCATTAGGCGTCAATTTACATTTTACTCGTATCCATTCGCATGCGCGTATAATGAATTCAAAATATGTCGGTCAGTTACGTGCGCACGCCTGTAGTTATTCGATCTCTTTCTTTCTACTTCGTTCTCTCACTCTCTCTCTCTCTGTCTCTCTAGCTCGCGCTCCTTCTCTTTTTACATTCTATCCTGTCTATTGCGGGTCATCAAAGTAACTACTACCTTTCGTCCACGTGTGCTTTGTTCTCGGTACCGGTGCTAGTTTTTGCTTCTTAGAGCGCTGGAGCTCCAGTTGCGCAGCTCCAGTCGCGCAGATCTAGTGTGTGTATGTGTATGTAAGCGGGGAACAAGGATTTTCCCTACGTAGTGGCAGCAGGGCGCTCAGAGCGCCGTTATCATCCGCGAGTAGCCGGCAATCAGCTGATTGCCGGCTGCTTATTTCCATTGGTTGTGGCAGTGGTTCCGGTGACTGGGCGCTAAAAGAGAGTGTGTATAGTGTGCAAGTGTCCGGCGCGTTAATTTTCCTTCCCGTCTGCTCATTTTTTCGCCGTTTTCTGTGAACTGACATGCATGTTTGTGTTTGTGTGAACGCGGTAGTCGCGCGTTTGCGTCGCCTTTTCTATTGTTTTCGCTCGGGTTTCCATTTTTCCGCAATCACATGGTCGGTTCGCGGGTGTAAAACTCACCGGTTGTCTACTGTGATTATCGCCGTTTTTTCATTTTATGACGGTGTCAGTGCGTGATAGTGTGCGTGAACTTCTTAATTTTCTCTCTTTCGTTGACTGCCTTCATTGTTTTGGCCTGTTGTTGAATTTCGTCACCGGCTTGTAACGTTGTTTCCTCAGGCGTGAATGGGTCGATTTTCGTGAAACGAAATGTTATAGATTCATGAGTTGACGGTCTAAATTATTCATACGGTAACGTGACAGGGAAAAAGTCAGTGGTCGATCTAATAGTGATGCATTATATCACATTATCTAAAGAAATTTTAAACTATAATTTAGATTCAAGTTCTCGTCATGTATCTGCAGAAAAATATAACTATTTTATAAAATATAAAGTAAACTAAATAAGATCGGGCAAAATCAAACGATAGTTCGGAAAATGTGCAAATAGGATGAGAACCATTAGATGCTGTTCACATGTAGCAGTAATTTATTTTCTATCTCATGCTCGATACTTTTAAAAACTTGTAAAGTCAGCTGATAAATTGACGCAAATCTGTTAAAGGAAATAGGCGGTTCCTGTAATTAATGATGACAGGAGTGAATACTGAATTTTTATATTATGTAGAATAATTAAAATATTGTAAATAAAAAATCGCTTTTAGAAATAATAAAATTATATTTTTATTATTATCTTTTTAGTTTGAAATAGGTAATTTTGAAGTTTTTATATTTCATTTGAGTACAACTATGTATCCTTATTACTAATTATAACTAATATCAAAGGTGAGGCTTACCTTTTCAAATGTCATGACATAATTGTATATGCATACAACTTAATGTGTATTTTGAAAACTATTGAATGAAAAAAGAATCCTTTTGAAATACTGTTACGATACTTCAAGCTGAAGATTTTTTACTATAATTTACCAATATGGTTGGGACGAAAAAGATAAAAAAAAGTATTTACATTGATTTCGTGATTATTTTGGGCATACATACCTAAATGATTGATTCAACTGGCGCTTGTTCATCGTCATAATAACCGAAAAAAGACGTAAAAAATAGGTTTTATATTGTTATTTATAATGTTCCAATTAATTTATAAAAATTTGTGAGAATTCAGAAGCACGGAGGAACGTAAAATCAATAAAATAAATTTTTTTAGTCTATTATTCTTTTTAAATGAATGTTAAGCATTAAAAACGTTTCAAAAACTTGAGTATCGCGACAAAAGTCTTTAAAATAATTGTGTCTATAGCTCTTTTTCAAGCAAATTTGTTATCGCCTGGCTGGTTTCGCTAGCTATCTGGAGCTGAAATATCTCAAACTAAAAATTCTTCGCGTTTTTTGGTCCCTCTGAATGTCTAAAGGTCTGAAATTTTTGCAAAAAGAGTTTTCTATCAATCCTACAGGAAGCCATTAATCCAGTGCCAAAAACAATGGGGAAAATTTCAATCATTTTATTAAGTAGTTTGAATTTTATATGAATATTTAATATCAGTAGATATATCTGACAGTTTTCTCACTACTATTTCTAAGAGTGCCGATCATTCTATGGGAAAGTTAGTACGAGAATTGAGTCTTTCGAGATCTTCAAAGGAATAAATTTCGTCATTGATTCAAGTAGATAAGCAATGTATGTTCTGGGACAAAAGGAGCCGACAAAGGATGCCGCCAATGTATAAGGATACGTGTATGTTCTGGGACACAAAGGAGCCGCCCGATGAAGGTGTGAAGGTAGTGACACCTTTTAATCGCGATAAGGTGAGACCCCATGCTGAGTGTTGCATTTGATGTTCGTTCGACACCTCCCGCGTGCCAGAGGGCCCCTTCGAGGGGGCCAGTCTCCCCCCCCTCTCCTTCGATAGTAGGACACTTCACCCACCCACCCACAGAGGTTGTTAAAGTAGGATGCCGTAGAAGTCGGTAGGGTGTTTGGTAAACTATATGCTTATGCTGGCTGAGTGTGGACCCTCGGAGAGGGGGTAGCGTCTCTAGCTTGCTAGGTGCGTACGCCGTATAGTGAGGATGCTGTTCTCTCTCTCTCTCTCTCTCTCTCTGTCTCTCTCTCTCTCTCTCTCTCTCTCTCTGTCTCTGTCTCTCTCTCTCTCTCTCTCTCTCTCTCTCTCTCTCTCTCTATCCCTCTCTCTCGCTCTCCTTCGATTGTAGGGCTCTTCACCCACCCACCCGCCCACCCACAGAGGTTGTTAAGGTAGGATGCTGTAGAAGTCGGTAGGGTGTTTGGTAAACTATATGCTTATGCTGGCTGAATGTGGACCCTCGGAGAGGGGGTAGCGTCTCTAGCTTGCTAGGCGCGTACACCGTATAGTGCGGATGCTGTTCTCTCTCTCTCTCTCTCTATCCCTCTCTCTCGCTCTCCTTCGATAGTAGGGCGCTATGGGGCCCCTTCGACAGAGTGAGACCCCATGCTGAGTGTCTAGAAGGTATTTGATGTACCTTTGACACCTCCCGCTGAGTACCTAAAAGGTAATCGATGTAGCTTATGCATTGAAGATGCGCCGCCAATGCATAAGGTATATGCGTATGTCCTGAGACAGAAGCTAGTGGGCCCTTCGACAGTGCCCCCCCCCCATTCACCCACTCTCCCACCCACCTACAGAGGTTGTTAAGGTAGGTTGCTGTAGCAGTCGTTGCTAAGAGTCTAAAGCATAACCGATGTTCCTTTTTAAATGAAGATGCGTTCTAGCAGCGTGCACTATCCTTTTTCAGGGCCACACATATAATTTAGGAAACTTTCGACCACCCACACCAGCTTGTACTTTCTCCAATAACGCTTTACCTCATGCTGAGGGTTAAAACGCATTCGATGTTCCTTTTTCAATGAAGATGCGATCGAAAGTATGTACGCAGCAGGTGATTGGAGATAGAGTAATCTTAATGACGTCTGTTAGTCATTTTATTGCTTTTTTTTTGCCTTAGAGATAAGGTTTTTGAGTTAGCCTTGTTTAGTTGCGTTAACATCCTCCAACATGCCCTTGTACCTTTTTTTCTTTTGAAGTTATCTTGTATCTTAATTACGAATCGCATACTGAGCAACTAAAACTAAATTTATTACCTCTTCCGTTTAAAAACAATACTTTCACTATTTTTGAATGGAGCTTCGAGAGTAGGAAATTTTTGGGAGGAACGAAATAAAAACGTCTTCATTTTCAGAAAATCTTTCATTAGTAGACTAGGTCTCCAAGAGAAGACTTCTTAAAAAGTGAGTAAAGTTAAGTGATTAAAAAAGTGCATCATGAATTCATTGGAAATTATTCGAACATTAAATGCTATGATCGTATTCATGGCGAATGTAAGTAAAAAAAAGCAATCTTTATATTAATATTATAATTTAATTTATATATCTTTTTTTAGACTCCTCCAAACCTGCTGGCGGGCATTCCGACAGCAACATTTTATCATCTATTATTAGCAATTTTATCAATCGTAAGTAATTTTATTATATATTTATTTTTAATTATTATAGTCTTATATATTGTATTTTTCAGCTTCATTCAATCATGGTTGATCCTGCTCAAAAACTGAGGATTGGCCAGCTGCTGCAGGGAGTGATTGAGGTAAGAAATTTTACTTTTTATAATTTGCTTCCTAGAAATATATAAATATTTGTTTGTTTTTAGTTGCAGCAGATATTGGATTTTTCTGAGCGCTCGGCAAGACAGCGGGCTGATGCCCAAAGAGTCGAAAGGGCTGCAGCCGAAAAGTCTGCAACGGAAAAGGTGATGGTGGAAACAGCGAGGAAAAGAAGAAATCCCTTTGCGTCGTTACCCCCAAAAAAAAAATTTTTTAAGGTATAATTTTTTTTATTAATCATATCATTAATTATAAAATTAACATTTTAAAAATTATTATTTTTTTTTTCAGATAAACGATGTTGCTCGAGAGTCCTTATGTAGTATTGAAAATACCCTTACAAGGGTCAAGTCTACTGCCGCTGACATCACCACCACCACTACTACCGCCACCACTACCACCAATGCCTTCACCATCACCACCACTGCTGCCACCGTCACCGCCACCACCACTACTACCACCGCCACCACCACCACTACCACCGCCACCACCACCACTACCACCGCCACCAACAAGCGTAAAATAAAAATGAAAAAAATAGAAACTGTAAATATAATGTATCCCGGAATGGTTGGAAGGCCAACACAACCTTCCAAACCATACGGTAAAAAAAAATTAAAAAAAAAACATCATGTAAATAAATAATTGTAATATTATATTTAATAATTATATAAATAAATAAAAAAATTAATAAATTATATAATAAAAAAGTGTCTCTCTCTCTCTCTCACTCTCCTCCGATAGTAGGGTGCTTTGTTAGTAAGCTTATGCTGGCTGAGTCTAGGCTCACGGAGAGGGGGTGGCGTCTCTAGCTGCTTGCTAGGAGCGTGCATAGTATAGCCCTTGGAGAGGAGGTAACGTCTCTTGCTGCTTGCTAGGAGCGTGCGTCGTATAGCCCTTGGAGAGGGGGTAACGTCTCTAGCTTGCTAGACGTATAAGCTGTATAGTTAGGATGCTGCTCCCTCTCTCTCTCTCTCTCTCTCCTTCGATAGTAGGACATGTGGGCCCTTGGAGAAAGGGTAGCATATAGCTTGGTAAGTTATATGCTTCTCTCTCTCTCTCTCTATCTCCGGTGCTTATCGGCGTCATCTATCGCCCGCCTAGGGTGCCTCTGCAGCAGGGCTCGGATCTTTTTGAGGTGTTGAGGGATCTCTGTGGTGATTTCAGTCATAAGATCATCATGGGTGATCTCAATGCCGATATGAGTTCGGGCTCGGATGATGCTCTCTCCATCTCGCGTTTGGGTGGGGAGTTGTCGCTGAGTTTGGTTCGGCATGGCCCGACTCATCACGTGGGTGATTCCCACACATGGATTGACCGACGCATGTGACACGATCATGGACCAGAAGAACGAATTGCTCCCCGAATTTGGTAAGCACGCGGTTATAGAGGTCATGATTGACATCCGTGTGCCTTCTCCTTCGGCGGGTAGCTTTACCTATCGCAGCTTTCGTGGCATTCACCCGGATATGCTTTTAGACTTCTTGACACGCTGCGATTGGACATCTGTTGGCGCTGTTGAGTCGGATTTGGAGGGAGCGCTGGAATGCCTCAACCATAATTTAACTGAGGCCATAAATAAATTTGCACCTGAGAAGACAATATGCCTTAGGAAAAAGTATGCTCCTTGGTTTGGTCCAGAGCTGAGGAGGCTCGTCGACAGACGTGATGCCTCGCGGAGACGCTATAAGCGTACTGGGCGGGCGGATGTCTTAGAGGAGTCTCGTAGGCTTAGTAGGGAGGTCGACGTTCGTTTGGAACAGGAGCGCGTTAATTTCCTTCAAAATCATCTGTCTAGCGCTCTTGATGAAGGTAAAAATATTTGGAAGGAAATGCGGAACCTCGGCCTCTTGCCAGGGGCGGGTGGGGATGGCCTTCATGGGTTTACCTTGGACGAGCTGAATGACCACTTCGCTGGGGTTTCGGCCTCGCCGCTTGAGGATATAGATAGTGGGATGATTGGAGTTGATGTCGTGGATGAGCGAGGCTTTGCCTTCAAACCTGTTGGCATTAATGACGTCATCCTAGCTGTCTCCCATTTTACATCACAAGCGAGCGGCGTGGACGGGATTCCCCATGGGGTGGTGGTGAAGGCTCTTCCAGTCATAGGTGAGCACCTGAGGTCAATATTTAATTCCTCATTTGCTAAGGGGGAGTTCCCGGGAGCCTGGAAGCGGGCACAGCTGATTGCCCTGAGGAAGAACAACGCCCCTTCCTCGGCCTCGGACTTTCGTCCGATAGCTTTGCTTTGCTTTCTTTCAAAGGTTCTCGAGAAGCTTGCCCATGACCAGATCACGGAGTATCTGAATAGAGAAAATCTTTTTGATCCTCTCCAGGCCGGCTTTAGGCGGGGCCACAGTACTCAGACAGCGTTATTAAAGTTGACGGATGACATCCGAATGGGAGTTGACAAAAGGATGGTGATGCTCTTGCTGTTATTCGATTTCAGCAAGGCGTTCGACACTATATCACCCTCGAGACTTTTGCGCAAGCTCCGTGCTCTTGGTTTCTCTGGTTCTGCTCTCCAATGGCTGAGGTCCTACCTCGGTGGTCGTTCGCAAAGGGTTACTGCTGGGGGTGGGAGCTCAGAGTGGCGGGAGACGAATCTGGGGGTTCCACAGGGCTCGGTGCTGGGACCGCTCTTGTTCTGTCTGTATGTCGGCGATCTGAAAGATGTGCTCCGCGGACATGAGGTTTCATACCTCTTCTATGCGGATGACTTGCAGATTTATCTGCATATACATAAAAATGAATTGACGAAGGGCATCCGAATGCTGACGGAGGCTGCGAGATTGGTGGCGAACTGGGCCCGGGATTCGGATCTGCGCCTGAACGCGGGCAAGACCAAAGCTATCATGTTTGGAATTAATAAACATGTCAATGACATTTACGCTGAGGTCTTGCCTGGAGTTGAGGTGCAAGAGGGAGCTTGCAGCTTTAAGAGGGGGGCGCGCGGATACTTTGCGTCATTGAGGGCGTAGGGTGGTACCACTGGAGTATTTTTATTTCTATTAGTTACTGTATAAATATTTGTACAGTTATTTATTTACGTGTTTGTAGTGAATTATATTTATTTATTTATTTTTTGTGCTGTTTTGTGTCTGTATGACGAAAACTAGCCTAAACTTTTGACTGCATTACTAGTTTTAAGATAAGCAAGCTTGACTGTAGTGATAAGAATTATTGTTTCCTCTGGAATATTGAACTGTGAACTAGTCAAATCCTAGTCTATCTATTTTAACGTAATAACTACAATCATAATTTTATTTATTGACTGAGGAACTACAATTGTAATCGAACTGTGATGAAATATGATGCCGGTACGGCATAATGTAAACTTACTGAAAGCTGTGACAATTACTGTATATATTTATATATTATTGTATTTTATGTTTTGCCATCACGGTGAATAAATTCTTATCTATCTATCTATCTATCTCTTTCTCTAAGCAAGCGCTATAGTATTTTCATTAGATTTCGGGAACCTTTCAACCTCACAGTTGATTTTATTCGAATATTAATTAATAAAACTTATAGAATTCTCGTTTAATTATTAATTTATTGTTCATTCAACTATACATTGAATATAATACAGTCTGTCTATAATCTTTATTTTCAGTAGTTGACATCGCTATATTGAAATATTGAGTTGAATTTTTATATGTAATATTGTCCACTTCATCAATACCTTCCATTTCAGATTGCTTCAGTCTAGCTTTTATCCATGAAAACAATCTTTGTGGATTTGTAACGGCACATACAAAGTTATCTGGTTTATTATAATGATATGTACATATTGTTTCTAATGGGTAAGGTAATGCGCTCATTGGCGGACATCTCATCTCGCTTTCAAGTTCTAAAATTTTTCTAAAAAAGGAAAAAAATTTTTAATTAATAATGATTTTAATTTCTAACAAAAAAATAAATAAATAAAAATACTTACTTTTCAGGTAAAATTTTTTGTAATCATTGTTTCTTTGTTAATCCTTTTACATAAATATTTCTAGAATTATTTAAATGATCGTTTAGTACACGTGCTAAATTTTTATATGGAATAAGACCGGATCTCCATAATAAACCATGATGACACGTTTCTAAGAAATGATTCACTTTTCGATACTTGATAGGAAGTTGAAACCAATGATATGGTGGTTCGAAGAAAAACACAGTTGGAATAGTATCTATATCTAATGGTAGATATGCGAGTTCTTTACAAACAAAAGTCTCGTTTAAACTTTGAAAGCCTTGAAAATCTATTACGAAATCCATTTGAAAAGATGCTGAAGTTAATGTGAACTCTATTAGTTCCCAAAACCGTTATGAGAGTAGAGGCACGTGTTTGTTCTATACAAAGCCTATACCTCACTATTCGAAAGTAGAGGGCGCCATAGTCACCATACCTCACCAATCGAAAGTATAGGGCGTCATAGATACTATATAGTATGGTTATAGGTAGTTTTTATTAAATTCCAACAATATATATATAATTTATTTTCTTTTTTATTGAACAGCATTGTATACATTGATTACATAATGTCTTGTTAATTTCAAACTAATTTTTTAACATCACCACTAATCGGGTTATATTGTACAATACGATCGTGTAATATTAAGCAGTAGGCTGCAGTATCTTCAGGAAAATCAGTCCGAGTTTCAAATTCTAGGCAAACATCGACCTGCGCGCTTTTTAATGTTTCATTTTGTTTGGAGCAGTCTATAACTATTAGCGGCACTTTATTAATGAAATCTTTTTTATTGAGTAACGGCTCGTTTTCTTTACCATAATAAGCGTTTTGAAAATTAGTATACATATCGTAGAGAACAGCATACTGATTTTGATTGATATTCAAATTGAGATTTCCATAAGGATAGCATTGTGAATTGAGGAATAGCTTCACAATACTAATATTACAATGATCAAAATTACTAGAATTAACACTCGCCGAACTTTTACGTTTAGTTTGAAAAGCTAAAATAACAAAGCGAGGCTTTTCCAATTGATTGGAAGTCTTAACACTCCAAACATGCTTTGATGTACGTGGTAATTTTGGATACTCATACATTTCCCAAGTACGATAACTC